AGTTGGTCGAAGTCGTATTACCTATCACGGCCATAAACGTGGTCTTAAAAGTAGCAGCAAATTCGTCGTGGTCTACGGAAACCCAGGATTTGTATTCAGTAGTGCGCGGCACTTCGAGGCTCCCTGCATGCGCCACGAAGGTGAGTGTGCTTATTGAACCGTCTCTACTTCATCAGTGTTGATATACTATGTTTTATACCCCTAATAACTTCATTTTGTTTTTGACAGGTGCCTGCAACAAACCCGTAGACAGTACAACAGGTGCCCAGCACGAAACCACCCTGTACTGCAAGACCTGCCACGGGAGAGAGTTTGGAATCAAGGGTTACGGTTTTGGCCAGGGCGCTGGCATCCTGAACACTGAGAAGGCTACCGGGGCAGGTGGAGAGGCACCCAAGCAAGTTCAACTATTGAACTCTTTATAGGCATGAAGCGTCATTCCCACATATTGAAATTCCTCCCAAGCTGTATTTTGTTTTGGGTGAAAACTGCCTAAAGAATGACTCTGCACTAGATGCCATTAATTTTCTCTATTTCTTGCCTTCCGAAGTGAAGTTTTGACATTCCCTAAAAAATCTCTCTTTTTTTTTCCAGACCAGCCCCCAAAGCCGGCCAGCCACGCACCGTCAGTCCGAAGTCTGGTGGTTGTCCGCGTTGCGGACAGCGCGTTTACGATGCCGAAAAGGCCATCGGTTGCCCTGGTGATGTAGGTTCCACCATGTTGCTCATTAATAGGCTGTTCTGTCCCCATTATAAGGCGCAGGACCAATTCACACCCCCGAAGTGAAGAACATGATAGCATACTGTGTGTCACTCTGAGTTTAAGGATATTATAGATCAGCCAATTACGGCGAGTAGCGGCTGGATATATATGAAATGTAATTCCACTTTTCGTTCAAGAATTTCGAGTTGTTTAAATCTTCGCATACTGTGTTGCCCAAGACAGTCAAATACAGTGGGACACATTTACCTCCATTAGTCGGAGAATGAACAATGGGTTGGAAAGAGTTTTCTTGGACTCCTGTTATTCCCTTTTTAAGAGCACGATATATTCTGGTCGGAGCTGTATGTAGGAGTAAAACCTGTTCGATAAACCCAGCAAAGTCTGACCATCGTATAATAAATCCGATTTTGCCAATCAGCATTGCTGGGATCATTTCATCCTTTGAGTTTTTGAGGCGAGCACTGTCCTACAAAATTGCAGCGTCCATTTCATGTTACTTCTTTCTTCTTAGTAGGTGCCTGTCGCTTACCCGTAGTTACCTAAATTCTAATGTTGGATTCTTTCAGCTGAAATTCCATAAACGATGCTTCCGCTGTAAAGTATGCTCCAAGTCACTTGATTCGACCAACATATGCACGAATGAGGACGAAATTTATTGCAAAAGTAAGCCCAACTGTATTCCTGTCTTTTTTAAAAAAATGCTCACTTGAGAGATAAACTTCGCGTCAAATTGACGTTGTATTCTACGTGCAAGGTCATTTTGAAGGCGGTACCTTGTAACAGTACACACTTGGACACCCATGCATCATTTTCATCACGGGATTTTAACAGACCACTGTAGAATGAGACGGTCAAATGTTTTTTTTCCCTCCTCTATATAGTAAGGCTAGCAGTTAATTTTTAATGTTTCCGAAGCCTGGGGATGTTTGCTGATGTAGAAACATATAATTGATGCTTCTCACCGGACATCCTTACTTAGAGCGCAGAATATATAATTTTCGTTAATT